CAGCAAGACTTATTTTCAGTCGGACTTGCCCGAAACAAAAATTCTGTGCGAGGTGAAAAAAAGTCTGTGTACGAATTCCCAGCTACATTTCGTGATTGAAAAATCACTCCAATGTTAGTGTAAAATATTCCAAAATCGTGAATTTCTCATCACGGGTTCTACGCATTTTCGAAAGAGATCCGGGCGGCTTCGTTCCACATTTGAAGGGTCGTACCAGAGGTGAAATGAAGGCCTCGGATCGGGTTCACCACAGGGTGGCTTCCCCCCCGAAAAAAAGGGGGACAAGAAAAATAAAAAAAAGAGGAACATACAATTCCTTTGTACAACTGGATTTTGTTCATGTAGCAAGCATTTATCCTGGTGAAGACGGAGAAGAGATGTTCACAATATACATGCACACACACTCGCGTGCGTTCCAGTGATCACAATGTTTCAATGGCGGGGGACATAACGGTTTGTCCTTCTCTCGAACCCGAGTTTTAAAAATTCGGATCCCATTTTTCAAAAAATACCCAGGGTCCTTTTTTGTCTTCCTTCTTGTGTGTGTGTGTGTGTGTGTTGGGGGAACAGGTTCTGGGAAAGGAAGGCACACGAAGCATGACGTTGACGATTTGGGGAGATTCGTCCCCAAAATCTGGGCACGTTCTGAGAGGGGCTCTTGTTGGAGCTGCAAATAGAAATATATTTTAATATTTCTTTTAAGGAAATGAAGGAATTTCTCGTTGAAAAGCTATTTTCCTATTGTTGTCTCAATTACGGAATCTGTCGAGGCAAACTCTGAAGAGAGAAAAAGGAAAAAAAGAACTTCATGGAAAACATTTTCCTGCTCAAATATTTCACTTGTGCTGAGAAAGACGCAAGGTGAGCGTTTTGTTTGAAGAAATTTAACTAGCAAATATTGTTTCGAAAAATTTTCCTATATCATCTGTCTGAAGAGAGAGTCAAAAAAGGGCCCTTAGAAATATAAACCCCCAAGAAACGAAACCATTGGAAAGTTTTGAATAACAGACAAACAAATTTTATTCGCCTCTGATCTTCATTGGATTCGTGTTCTTCAGAAATTTTTCAAATACACTGAAACCCACTCCAGTTCAATTTCGAATTAACAATTTAAAAAATGAACTTGAGGAACCAAGCATTTTTGTTGAGGGAAAGAAAGTACAGTTTAATTGCAGGAATTTGAAACTTGTATTATTTTTTGCTTTAAATTGTTTCCTAAATAAAGTCAAGTTTTTCCCGCTCTATTCCTGTTTCAATACAATGATAGCCAAAATATTTCCAAGAAATTCGTCTCTTGGAGATTTTTGGTGGAAAGCCTTTGAGTTGTGTAGGTTTTTAATGCTTTGTTCCTAAGAAAAGCCAGATCAAGTCTTTAAAACACATTTTTAGGGAAGTTCGAATTGTTGACTTTCAACTGTACCACTTTCAAAATTTTTTTTCTCTTCACCCGGAAGCGAATTCTGCGTAAAACTGAATGCAAAAAACCATACAGTTGTTCCCCTTGTACAGTAAAGGTAAGAAAAATTCTGACAATATCTGTGGGGAGGTTCAATAGCAACAAATGGAAACAACTAATGGAACATTCAGGGAGGGATTCGAAACCATTTGCAGACAAGTCGTGGGAAAGGAGGCCGAGGCGTCGATGAGACACGCACGTCCTAAACAGCCCTGTGTTCAAGGAACCACCGCACGAGCATCGAAAAAAAAAGCTAATGTTCATACAACAACAACAAAAAACTTCACAAAAGAGACTACAAAAGAAAATTTCGTCGTCGAAGGAAGAGAAAAGGCAGGGATTCAATTCGTAGCCGCGATATTGTGGTCTGACGAAAATAAGGCCGCCACAAAACCGCGGCGCCGTAAGCCACCGCCGGGCGGAGACGACCCGATGCACTGCGGCTTCTTCTCCCAGTAGTTTTTCTTCTCCCTTCGAACCTTCTTTTTTTTCGGGTGAGGTTTAATACTAAAATAGAAACGAAATCGTATTTGAAATCTAGGTTAAAACCTGCCGAACAGAACCTTGAAAAGAATAAAATAAAATAAAAACCACGTAGTACTCGCCTCGAATCAAATCGGAAGCCGCAAATCCCACTAGATGATTTGCATTTTTTTTCTTCCTCCATAGTGGTTGAACTTGGTCAGTTATTGATCTGAAAATGATTTCGAACTCTAGAAATTGATTGCAATTCGTTTCGCAATAAAAAAGAGGTGAACCTCGCGGCAATCATCTTTGGTTTTTAGGTTGAAACCGCAGCAAGAAAAAAAAAAAAGATGTTCTTGTTACGATCGAATCCGAAACCACAAAACCCAGACCTCTTCGATTTCAAGACTCTTCTCTGTGATTGAACGTGTTCAATTATTGATCTTGAAATCAATCCTAATTTATTCATGAACCGGAAAACCAACTTCCCTGCTGAATCTTCCATGAAGATTCCAATCCCATCATCACTCATGCAAATTGAATAAACTTTTTTTCCGTGATGTTTTCTCAAAACGGGCTCATTTAATCGAACAAGAACCTCATCGGACCTAATTACCATTTCAAAAAAAAAGTATTGGAAGGAATGTCGAAGGTAATGGCTAGTTTCCAACCAGTCTCTTGAAACCTTCCTGAAAGACCTTCAAGAATTAACAACTTCCCTAAATCACCCGCTCACTTTCCAGATGCTCTTCGGTTGTTGATCTTTTCGTTTAAAAAATATCAGTAATTAAACGGTACAGTGGAGCTTCATTAATGAGCATTTTAATTGTTTTTTGCGACTATTCCTTTTCGATACTTACGGAATTTTGGAAGTCTGACATCTGGAAATGATTTGATGCGCCAGTGATGTTCAATTTTTTTGAAAACTCATAAATTACGCGAATAACCTAATAATGCTTTTCCGGCTTTAGTTTTCATGAGCCAAGGCTTAAATGACGTGGGAAATGTATTAAACGGAAGTTTTTCTTTTTAAATTACTTCGACTTCCTCTGATGATCACTTAAAAGGCGTCAATTTAGCGTAATAAAATGAGAGGGGGGACACGAAAAGTTAATTACCACCCGAGGGGATTTTTGTCGGGACGAAATTTTCGCGGAGTAATTTATTCCCTCCCCTTATGTTTTCAGTGTCGTGTATGGGTGCAATCCATAAGGGCCCAGTTTTCTGAGCTGTTATTATTTAATGCCTTTGAACCCCTTGATGGGGGCCTTGAACTTGGGCAGGGGGGGGGAATCGGGACCTTTTGCGGATGACGAGCATGAAGTCGCTGGGCGATTTTGAACATTAGGTCCTGGCGTCTCTCTGGGTGCTAAGTAGACAGCTGGTGGTATTTTTGTCTTTTATGGGACATCCGTTGCTGGGGGATGCATTTTGGTGCTTTTTTTTCAGTGGCTTTGAAGTGCTAGTAGTTTGTGTTCTTCGATGATTTTTTTATTCACTCTTTTGATTGAGACAAAAAAGCAAATCATTTTTTGAGGGTATGTCAAGGAATAAATAGGATGGCAGGATATGTAAAAATCCTGTTTTAGACATTTTTAGCAGACCTTGTACTGAATCTGTGCTGAACACTTTCCTGAGAAAAATCAAGATGAACCATAATTTTGTAATGTGTTGGCCTTTTTGGAATGTACTCAAACCCCCTTAAATGCAATTTTAAAAATGTGCAATCCACACTTTTGAAATTTAAATCTAGTCCAAATCCTGCTTCAGACAACATTTTCAGCAGAATTCATGCATTGAAGTGGCACTGCACACTTTCCAGAGAAAAAAAAGGGGGGAGATCATTTTTACGCATTTTTAGTCTCACTTGACCTTATTCAAACCTCCGTTAGACGCCATGTTAAAAATGTGCGATCCATACTTATGAACTTTATATCCAGTCCAAATCATGATTTAGATGACTTTTTAGCAGACGATGCATTTTTCATCTGTTGCATGCTGATTCACTGAAGAAGAAATCTTTTTCTGCCAATTTATCTGCTGTTGCATATCCGTTCTAGAATATGCCAATAATATTTTCTGGAAGAGTTCTGGAGCAAAAAAAGAGAGAAAATTTCAAAAATACCCTCGTCATTGAAATTTGCGAAACGCACATCTGTTCTTTAGCTTTTTTTTAAGGATCCCATCCAAGAATGTCCTGTTCGAACCCACGATGCCCGAAAGCACTTTGGGTCCCCCTTCTGTTCCCATGGATGATTCCCTTCTAATTCACGCCATAATTCAAACCCCAGGGGGAATAATTTAAGCCTCGCCGCGTGAAATCTCTCATTATCGCAATCATTCCCCATTTCCGCTCGTTCGGGCGGAGTTTCTTTAATTGTCTGGCTTATCAGATTATCTTAAAACTCTACGGGGGCTTAAAGAAACGGAACCAACTCCTACTCGGTTCCACCAAATTGGTACTTCGAAATGCGATCGATTGTGTTTGATTTAAGGGTTTGCGTGGAACAGAGAGAAAGTACGGATTCTCATGGACAGTTTTATTTTTAGAATAATTTCTGGCAGAAAAAAAAACCAGGTCGTTCAAAAAAGAATAAAAGTTAATTTTCGATGGCGGCATTGTGTTCGTTAATTAAAACAGGCGCTTTTAAGGCTGAAAATCAATAATTCTTGGAGAAGCGGAAAAAAGCATTGTAATATGATGAAACGTGTCCTTAATCGTTAACCGCAACATCTTGCATATGGAAAGATTTCGAACTTATTTTTACAAAGTAGAGAAAAATCCACTGAACTTCAAAGTTTTTGAATAACTAAAATGGTTTGAAATGTCCACGTAGAAAAAACTATTTGAGTCGTGGCCCATTAATATGAAGTTATTTTTATGCCACATTATGTGATTTTGCTAACATTTGGTTGACCAGCAAGTTTTGATTTGTTTCGCAAAATATAAAATTTGAAAATGGCGAGTATCTTTTTCTTCAGCATCATTCATAACTGATAAAATTAATTCGGCTACTGTGTGACCTACGTTTTCTTCCCCATCGATGGGCGTTGTAAAGCTTTTTTTTTTTCTTCTGGGATGGAAGAGCGATCGGGGCGCGATTTTTATGCAAAAATGTGGGCCCTGCCCTGCGGGTACGCTTTGAGACGCGAGAAAACCCCCGCGATTCATAATCGAGTTGACTGATCAGCCGGTGTCTAGTCCTGCAATTAAACCCTCCCCGCAGTCTTGTATTATAGTGATGAAACGAACAAAAATGCGTAACAAAATATAAAACTGTAACTGATTCAAGGGTCAGAAAAAACTTGACCTTGAATTGAATGGTGTCAGAATATTCTACGTGAATCGCTCCTTTTTTAAACAGGGTAAATGTTGGGGTGGGGAAAATTTAAGTAAAATGATGGACTGGCTTATCATGCAAATAAATTGAACGCTTTGCAAGAAAAAAAATATTATTCAGAAGATGCATTATTAAATTTATGAATATATGGTGAAAACAAATTATTTCGAATTATTGGTGGTAATAAATGAATTCTTTTCTAATATTTAAACTTCCTGAAAATGTTCCTCTGAAGCACGTAAAATAAGATTGTACTCTGAAATCTCTCCGAAACATCTGGGTGAAATCTTGAGAAGCATTTTTTTTTTGCTCGAAAACGTTCCATTTTTCTAATTTATTTCATTTGGTTGTCGAAACGAAAAAGATCAAATGACGAGTATTTTTACTAGTATCGATTTTCTCATTTCAGTATTCTGAGGAGTGAAACATTTGAAAGCTCAGTGGCATGATGTGAACCTGATTCCTCAAAATAAATCCAGCCCATTGAAGAGAAATGGACATTTTTAGAGCAAAGTTTCCATTGCATCTCAAATTATTCCAGTTACTGATCACATCCGAGATCAATTACACGGTCCCCTGCTGTGATGCGAATGGCGGATGCAAATTCCTTCATCTTTGGTTTTGATGGATGTAGTAGAGCTGCCACCTTTGGCGAGCTTCCAAATCCGCTCCAGCAACTTCCAGCCCTCTGAAAAACTTTTATTATTTTTTTTAAAGAAAATATTCAGAATATTTTGAATCATGTTAATAAATTAAAGAAAACAAACCTGAAAAGTGCTTTCACCTCTTGCATTCCCCCCAAAATTTCACGCTTCGCCCCGAAAATTAGAAGGGACGGAAAATGATGGGGAAAAAAAGGAACTTGAGTGTGAAGCATGTTTTAATGCGTGCGTCACGCATATTCACGCCCCTGCGCCGACATTTGCTATTCTCTCTCTCTCTGTCTTAGAGCGAAAGAGAAAGAGCAAAGCGTCGTTGTTCACGACCCCTGTCATGGCGGCGGCGTTGCCGAGCTGGTGATTGATTGCTGTCCTCTGGCCAAGTTGGTGATGCATTGGCTCTTTTTCCCCGGGCGGCGTAGGCTAATTGGCGCGTGGGTGGCTGGTGGTGATGATGACGATGATGATGATGATGACTATGACTATGATGATTATACGGGATCGCAGGCGGAAGTGTTTCCTTGCTCCTTTTTTTTATTATTTTGCATATACTGTATACTGAGAGACGCGTCCTAGATAGGATCCCCCAGGAGATGAGGGAACGAAAAGGAATTTTTTTTTGGTATATGGATCATGTGCAGTTTTTGCTGAACTGTAGGAGCGAATTAAACCCAGGCGGGTTCATAGAAGAAGAAGAAGAAGAAGAACCTGCTCTTGACCCGGAGTAACGTTTCATGGGGAGTAATTCAAGCAATTGTTCATCTTGTGATCTATCGACACTTTATTTTTATTTATTTTTTGAATCCAGGTCCTGCCTTTCAATCCCTGGAATAAACACGTATTTCAACCTGCTTAACGCTGTTGGCAGGAATCACGGACAGAATGTCCGCGATTTATTTCAAAAATTTTAATTTTGCAATTGTATGGATGGAGACAGCTGCATTTATCACGAGGAAAAAAGCCTTATATTTCAGTTTTATTTTTTAAGCCAACTACAAACTTCAATGAATGCAGAAACGATGAACCTCTATAGAATATTTTTCAATCAGTCAATATATATTGAGCTTCATTTTATGAAAAATAATTTTGACGTCTCTCATAATCATTGCAATACTGTATATTCAAAGTCATAATTCTGTTTGATAAGTTTTAATCAAAGTCAACTGCTTAACGCTGTTGGGCGTGAATCAAGAACAAAAACCAGTAGTTTATTCAACACATTTAAAATTTTTCAATTTGAGGATTTAAAAAAAGCATGTTTCAAGAGGGAAAAAGTTTGAATATCGTGATATACGTGTTAATTTTCATGTCTCAACAAACTTACGAACGTTTTTAAGAATGCAGAAAGGATGAACCTCTAAAATATTATTCGATCAGTAATTTAATCAGAATTTTTGGACAGCGAATTTTGCTGCTTTTGATAATCATATTCAGAGTGTTGATTCCGTTCAAGAAATTTTGTTGACGAGCGATTTTACTGAGAATTTCTTCCCTACAATTTTGGAAGAATTTCTTGATTTGTATTGTTTGAAGATTTCCATTGAAATTTTGGCACCCAAACCAATTTCCCAGCTGTGCTGATGAGTAATTTTTGCATATTATTGGAAACCCCGGCTCTTTACTTCGTATTTTTTGGATTCTTCTCAGCAAAAAATTTTTACTCTCATCCATTGAATAAACGTGAATTGTATGTCTAAATTGAAAATATGGACGAGTAAAATTTAAACTGGTTTTATTTTTAATGTCATTCCAGACGTCATTCAGAGAAGCGTCTCGCCTACTGTACGCAGCAACCTGGCGACTGGCGTCCTTCAAGACCATAGTGGTGTCCCTGCCGCCAACTTGGGACGCCAGGTCCTGCGGCGTCGGCGCCCACGAAGAAGGGCGCGTGGTGAACGGCGGGGAAGTGGACGGCGTGGACGCCTCTTTTCGACTGCAAGGCGACGACGCGGCCAAACAGGCGGCTTTTGTGGTGGACGTGCAGCTCGGCGGCGGTCATTTGACGCCTTACACTGTGCAACCAGTGGCTCGTTGTGGAGCACCTGGAAAACGAGTTATTGTTCCTCACGATTTCCTGACTCGAGGGGACAACAGAACACTTGGATTGAAAGGCAAGTTTTGGACATTTTAATTTATGTGTTTTTTTAAAAACTGAATTTGGAAAAAATAGTTTTGATCTAGGAGAATTAAATTGGCGCCTGGAAAAACTTCGCTGGACAGTAGTTGATCAGGCTTGAAAACGTCGCCAAAATATGTGCAAGAATATTTTGAGTCATTCAATGATGTAGTTTGAGTAGGTTTTTTTTTTTTTTTTTTTACTGAAGTCAGTCCATTTTGAAAATATTCCTAAATGAGGTTTTCGGCGGACAGTAACATTTGAAAAATTGATACCAATAATTATTGTATTTTCTGTTAATGGATGATATTATATTTCCACTTTGTTCCCTCACAATTTTTTTAAAGGCCGGAAGCGTCTTAATTATCTTAGCAGATGACTGAAAATACGGATTTGCTGGTTGTCTAGTCAAATTTCCGAAGGCTGTGGAAAAATGATAAATTCAAGTACTGGTCTCGAAACGAAATAGCGTTTTCCGCATAATTTTCCAATTCCAAACGAGTTTTTCTTCGAATTTCTCCTGATTTTTGGGAACTGCTCTGGAAAGACATTATGGCTGATTTGTGAAATGCATTTGGGATGGAAATAATCCCCAAATGAATCTTTCCATTCGATCATTACCGGAGAAGTTCTTTCTTCGTTGAATCCGGGAATATTATTTTTTTTTCGCATTCCAGGAAAGCAACTCTTCCGGTTGATGCCATTGTTGGGGTTATTTTCATGTATTTTCTTTTATTCCTGCGTTCTTGTGTTTTGAGTGTATATTCCGGCTTTTCCTTGAGCCATTCATTCCGAGCTCGTTTCTTCCCTCCCCATATCCGAAAGACCTGGTGGGTCATCAATCTTCCGACTTTTTTTTCACTTGGCAAGAAACGAATCCGACGCCATGTTTTTATTTTTATTTTTTGCTTTCCGAGTCTGGATTTCTGACTAAATGGCTGCAGCATGCAGGAAAGTAGTTTGCGTGTTTGCTGCTTGTTCTGATCAACTGTGGGGTATAATTTTCGTAAGTGTGTGCGATTAAATGTTTTCTGATTAGTAACAGTCACTTGAAATTTACCAGAAGGCCAGTTTTGTATCATGGGGGTGTTGTCTCATGTTTTTCTACGCTGAAAAGAGAAAAGAGCACTGGCAAAAAATTATTCCTAATGAAAAAAGCGCCTCCATGAAAAAAAGGAGGGAACCACATTTTTCCAAGCGTATTTGAAACATTTTACAGTGTGTGGGAATTCTCAACAGGGAAAAAAAATTGAAAAAGTCTATCGTGGTTCTTTTCAAAAACTTTTTTTCCGGTAGGAGCTTTTCTCGATCATGTTTTGCGCAAAACCGAAAGCTTTCAATCTTTCGAAGAAAAGCGACTATTCAAAAGACCCTTATCCGTGCCAATTTTATTTTTATAATTTTTTTTCGCTCTCCAGAAAAGTGAGGAAATCGGGGGATTTTCCTTGGTAATTCATCCAGGGGTTGGAGGAAATCATAGCCAGGCACGGAAAACTGCCCCCAGGTGAATGAGGCAAAATAAAACATGGTTTTGGAAAGGCCGTCAGGCGGGTTTCAGACACGATCCCGGGGTTTGATCGATAACGCTGTTTGTGGCCCGGGAGGGGGGGGGGAAAAGGGGTTCCGAATTCGCATTTCTTGCCGGACCTCCCCTGAGGCTCAAAACCGTCCACTTTAATTAAATTCTGGAAACACTGCCAACTGACCTATCTTGAAGAAAAATCGCTGAGGTTATTTCACTTGAAATGGAAGAAAATAAAGCCTGACACTTTCTCACCTTGGCTCCCAAGAAAAAAAATATTTATCGATGTGTTGAAGTGAAAAATTATTTTTGGACGTCGTCTGAAGTAGAATACGAACGAATGACTAGCTAGAAAAATGAAATACTGTAGTATGTTTCTTGTTTATGGGATTTTATTTATTCACTCAGCTTTAATTTTCCGCATATATTACTGCATTATGAGAAGTGGGCACTTTTCCTTGATCACGAAAGCTCAGTATTTATGTTTCAATGTGCTGAATTTTTCAAGAAAGGTTTATTTTTGACCACCTATTTTACCTTAGAGGATACTGCAACTTTGTTATATTATTATCAAGTAAATTGCAAAACGCCTGGGAATTATGGATGGCACTTCGAAAAAACATGACTTTAATTCTAGATTTTTTTTAGAAAAGAAAATTACTGCGTTATTTTTTAATTTCCCCAGAAAGCCATCAAACCCAAAATCAAATTTAACTCGGAATGACCACGTGTGGAATGTAAGGAAGATTGTCTGTAAACAATTCAAAAAAATGATCACGAATTTATCTCTAAACATCTTGGACGCCATAATTTTTATTTAAATTGAAAAGAGGTTTTCAATTGTTCATTCACAGGAATAATACTGTAGATCCATTTATCCCGTCGAATTAACCAGACGCATTGAGTCGCTAAATCAGTGAATAGAAATACTATTGTAGAAGTATTATTTTTTGGCGAGGTCAATCCAGCTGGACTTGGAAGGTAATCAGGGAAATGATGGATTGCGATGCGACAGAAAATCCGGGTCCCGGGATTTATTCTCCCTCGAAACCCGAATGGTCGATCGCACCCGTTCAATAGGACTGTTATACGTATATGTTTGTGTGTGGACGCTTTTTCTTTATTCATGTGCCTTATTTTTATTTAATTTTTTTGCTCATGTTATTTTGTTCACAGGTCGATTGATTGTCAAGGAATGGGCCAAGCTGAAGTATGGGGTTTTCGATGAAACCCATCGATCGGCGTCGGATCCGTCTTCGCCGAGTTACTACACCCCGTTTGGCATTTCTGGACCCGAAGAACCCGTGCCGACCAGGTGCTCTAACATACCCGTCAAGGGACACAGGTTAGATTTTTTTTCTTGCAGGAAATCCGCGATATTTTTTTTTGGGAGAAATAATTTGACAGAACTCGGGGGGTCGGGGGGAGATAATTCCGAAGGTTTCTTTGTCAAAAATGCAAAATTCTCAGTTTTTCGCAAGTGCGATTCATCATTACCAACGTCTCCCGGAAAAAAAGGACCGAACGATCATCGTGTTAATTAAAGCTTAGTTTTCCTTTAATTGGAAAGAATATGAGCTTTTATCTATTGTGAGGGGAAGAAAGAGGGCAAAATCATCTGAACAGCAGTCGTCAGCGTCCATTATTCCGAGTGTGTCCCTTGGGACACGATTTCCGAAATGACGTCGACGTCTTCTGTCTCCTCTTTTTTTTTCTCTCTCTTGAAAATATGAAAAATTGGGGTTTCATAAAGTTTAAATGTGCATATTCGAAGCCATTTTCTTCTCTTGCCAGAGATTCAGAGTATTTGTCTTTGAAAATTTCCCGAATTTCTTGTGGGGCGGAAGTTCGGATGCAATTTTTTAAAAAGAAGTTTAAATTTCCTCAAATTTACAGTGCACGCATTATGATTTTAATTTTCCTGAGGAAGAATAAATTAAATTGCAATTGACGTGTTTTTTAAAGTTTGAAGCGGAAACTGTTCGGAAGTTCTGAACGCTTGAAGATATAGTTGTTCCCGGATCATCATTTATTTATTGATCCATTCTTCGTCGCAGAAATTGCGTGGGGCCAACGTGTCACTTCCTGCCTTTGGACAAAGTTGCAGAGAACGACGGTGTCGTGTCGTCGTTGATGTCGTATCCGGATCTGCCCCAGGTTCGTGTGATACGATTTTTTTTTAATTCCATGAAAAATGATTCTCATTGTATCCTTTGTTATATTTTTGATGTGAGGTGATGATGTATGGCAATGGGGTTTTTTCAACAGGTCACTCAGTTCTGCAACGAAACGACTCACGATCCGGAAGTTCCCACGAAGCATAACTTGCTGTGTGACGGACTCAGTACAGGCCAGGTCATCCGCGAAAACCTCGATTTCCTTGGGTC